AAGGAAAAAAAAAAGTTCCTGTGCCATATTCACAGCTAGAGACTCTGAAAGCACATGAAACTCCAAAAATAAAGCTGAGGAGAAACAAAAGCAAAGGTTTTTTTCTTCTGCCTTCACCACTAAGGGAAATATAAACAGTGAAGTATCAATAGCAGAAAGTAGAGGTGGTTTTTTTTTTAATAACATGCTGTAAAAAGCAAGAAAAAAATGTACCCTGAAGCCCTCTAAACCTCCAAGAGTTCAGAATAAAAGTGCTTTTTTGCACACCCATCAGCAGAACCACTCACACATGAGACTTCTGGGGCACAAACTTCAAGCTGAGAGTTATTTAAAATGCTTCCTGGATGAGAGGTTACTCTCACACTGTTTTCGTATGAAAATATGAATTACTGTTAAGGGACAACTGCGTGGTACTCTGCCACCTCTGGCGTCCTCTCCTCAGGAACGAGAGCCAAAGCCATGGCTATTAGGGAATTAAAACTGGTCAAAGTGCAGCTAAACTGGCTGCAAAAGGACTTTAAAAACATGTATTTGTGACAAGTTATGTTCATTTTTATAGTAAACAGCGGGGTCTTCTTACACATTCTTGGAAGATGTGTCGTGCTATGGCAGCTGCTTATAAAACCCACTAAATGAGGTAATGTACTGAGCGTCAGCTGAAACCAAACCATCTTTTGTTTCCCTGGATGGTGACATTAAATAGGACAGAGATGGCTACCTGCGCTAGGCGCGTTCAAAGACTAACCTTCTTTTTTCTTTGCCATTAAACTATAAATTCAATTAGTTCCTTCCATGCTTAAACAGAACTGCCGCTGCCGAAATCGTACTCCAGCGATAATTGCAATCCAAGGGTGATCTAATTATATACAAGTCTCAGTGGCTGCATTCCCAGGTCGCTCCCTACAACCCGGATTCACTACAACTCATAAGTGAGAACTACATCGTTTTCATTCATTCTCCCTTAAGACTGCACGACTTCATATATGTTTAATGAGAACGGAGTTAGTCTATTAGTAAGCTTACCATTAAAAAATGTGAGTTTCTACTTACTGTTGAATACAAAAGAAGAGAAAGGCACGTCAGCTGCATGTAAAATTACCAGCTGATGGGCTAAACTGTACAAGGGAAAGAACATTCTTTTAATTAAGGTACTGGATTAGGATTCAAGTACCAGCTTTACTTTTTTGGCTCTGCCACCAGCTTCCTGTGTGACCCAGGGCAAGAAATTTCACCGCTCCACAGCTCGGTTTTTCATCTCCAAAATGGACAGTGACATTTCCTTCTCCCGGCCTCACCGCCTTTCGGTTGTAAGCAATTACTGTGCGCTGGCACGGTGCCTCGGACAATAAGTATCCGATATTAATTGAAGCCTCTGGGTAGTACTGCAGTGAAAAGCTAAAATCAACTTCTCTCTCTTTCATAGCATCCTAACGGGAGTTTCGTATCGACACCATTTGCCACTACCGCAACCCAACACATTTGTATCCCTGAGCAGAGCCGGTTTAAGTCTTTGAATTGAAATGGAGGAGGAGGAGAGACGAAAAAGGCAGTCAATTGGGGTATCCCCAACATTTAACAAATGACTTTTTCCAACACAGAATATCCTGGCCAACTGGACAATTCCCCGCTAACACAGTCAACGTGCACCAGTATCCTCTGCAATACGGAGAGGCTGCCAACAACTGGCTGTTTTTTTTCTTCAGTATTTTCTGCTCCCATTGTAAAAAACGCAGTGCAAGGGTTTTGCCAGGTTTGTAAATTTGAACGAGACCATCTGAGCTGAGCTGACTACTTTAAGAGGGTTCTTGCAAGTAATTACAAGGTAAAAACGGGAATACTTCACACCTACATTCTGACTGAAAACTACTCAGCCTTGCTGGCTCCAGGCTTTTAATTGTCAGAAGAGCTCAAGGTTTGGAAAGTTATTGGCACCAAGTAACACTGGATATTCCTAACCAGCATTGTGTCACTATTTGGCACGATTTTTGCTGGGATACCTCCCAAATCTGTGACATAATCAGAGGGTTCTCTACATTACACCATATAGTCAGATGCTCATGTTCGAGTAATACGTTACCATGTTTAATACCATTTTCTATTACTTACACTTAATCGACTCTGGAACCAGTTAAACCATATAGGAAAAGCAATTTCAGAGGCTTTCAACTGACAGTTTTCCACACACAACTTGACCTAAAATTATGACCTGAAGTTTCTAAGATGCCGTCTACATACGCAATTGCCTCTAAACAAACACCCATAACTCTCCACAACCCTGTCGGAACAGAACGTTCATATGAAAACAGAAAGGAAAAAAAAAAAGGCACAAAATTAACTGCTGTAGAACTGTCTTAACTAGAAAAAACTGTCAAGAGTTTTCCCTTCTGGCCAGCCTTAATTTACTGCTTCAGCAATTTTACACCCAACCTCCACGATTATTACAAGCTTTCGGCTACACAGAAATGGCTGAGCTCTCTCACATCAAGCCCCCTTTCAGGTTAAAGTCCCAGTGCAGTCTTTCTCAAAAGACTCACTGTAATTTAACACAGGCATCTTAGGGTACACATTCCCATACATACATTTTCAAAGTAAACTAACAATTATAACCTTTAACTCGTCAGCCTCTTGCTATCTCATAGGGTCTGAGTAGCAGAAAATGCTGAATATTTGCCCAGGGAAAGTCAGGGCTCCCCTTGGGTGCCATCAGCTGGGTACCCAGCACCCCAAAACCTCATTATTTATATTTCTGCCTCTCTATAGGAAAGGAATAGACATTTAAATAAATGACATAATCCTTATTACCATTCCATTCATTCATGCAGGTCACTATAATTTACTGCCAGGAAAAATAAACTTCTGCATAATATTCCTCAATGTAAGACATTCAAAAGGCTCAAAGGGGGAGAGGAGGCAGTGAGTGGAGGGGGGGCTTCTGACAAATATTTGCTCAAGTGACCACATCATCCATGAACACATTTGCTAGAAAAAAAAAATGGATGAAGAGATTTATGATCAACATGAAATGTGCCAGAGTGGGACTGGGGTGGTAATGAGGAAAAGGGGACAGAGAAGGGAAGGGGAAATTTTTGACCAGTTTTGTTTCAGCAAGGAAAACTCCTAATATTGCAAAACCGGCTTTTTCCTCCCTACTAAAAACCAGTTTAAAGCAAAACCAAAGTTGAATCAATCTAGAATGATTAAGCCTAAAGGATTAAGGAAACAAAACGAAACAAACCCCAAAAGACCTCCAAAAATCCCATAACTCATCATATCTCCTTACATTCTTCCTGGGCCAGGGTCTGTAAATCAAGCCTCGTCCCTGGCAAGCCCAGGCGAGCACCCGTGCCCTGCAGGGAGGCGGTCAGCAAAGGACAGCGGCGCACAGGACACGGTTTACCGGCATCTCTGGCGGCCGTTGCTGCTGCGCCCTCCATAAACGTTGTTTAAACAAGTGTTCAAACAAAAATGGCTTTACCAGTCACTCCGTTCACCTCAACACCACCCATAGCTCTCTCTACCGAGGATGGCAAGATATTGCCAAGGCTATAAAAAATCCTCACTGCTTTCAGTGTTGACTGCCTAAAACCAAGTAGAGGTGAGCTGGGTGGTTCACAGACTGGCTTTGAAGACTTAAACTGATGGCATTTCCATCACAAAATTATCTTTGTCCTCCTCTGCTCCTCAAAAGCTGGCTCTCCCTGGCATTTTCATGGAGAAAAGTTTCATTTCTTGCTGCCTGAGAAGCTGGCACTTGTCTTCTTTTGGATTTGAGGGTTTCTGCAGACTTAAGTGGTCCCAGACAAACCAAGATACTGCTTTTAAAAAGCACCCAAAACAAATGAGAGATGCATTTTCATTCATGTAAAAAACAATCAAGGACTAAAGAAATGAAAATGCTGTCACTTTTTTGGCCACACAAACCCAAACTCACAGCAAGATTCTGCACAGAAGATAAGTTGGGCTGTCAGCCACCAGCCAAAAATTGCTTACAATAATCACATTCATTTTTCCTTTCGATATTGATTGATTCAAAGTTTTATTCACAGAGCTTGTGACACTCCAATCATCCCACAAGCCTGGAGGGAGCAAAACCCATTTAAGACATAGAAACTGCTCAGATCCCCAAAGGCACTGCCAGCAGGTCCTATCAGAACAGCCAAGCTTATTACTTTTGGGCAGCAATGCCTTCAGAGTCACTAAAACCACTCACACCCATCCAGGCCAATCAGCAAGAGTAGGGGTGAACGGAACTTATTCCTGGGATTTCAAGCCCTAATTTAGCTAAATATTTAAGTGTGTAAGCCTTATTAAAGTCAACAGGATTTTAGTATTATTAAATTAATATAACTAAGCACATGCTTCATAGTCCTGAAAAAATTGCTGCTACTAAGAATTCAGACAGCTTTTTAGAATTTTTCAAGTAAAACCATTTCTTCACAATTTTTGCCACCTATGTTTCAGCCCACAAAATGGGCTATGGTCAAATTTCTGTTATACTGCCATAAATCCGAAGTACCTTTCCTGAAGCTCCAGATCTGCACTAGCATCACCAAAGGCAATATCAAGCTTTTCATAAAAAATTAAATCGTTTCAGGTATAACAACAGCAATCTAAAACTTGACAGTTGTCATAACTGAAGTTATTAAAATTGGTGTTAGTACCATTGTACTAGTAATAATTAAATTGTAATACTAATGATTAAAATTGCATCAGTATTTATTATTTGTTCATCACGGTAAGCTTGTAGGTGTACCACAGCAACAAGAACTCACTTGTACATATGGATATTATACCTTTGCCAAAGCATGGGTAGATTAGTCCTACAGACATTAGACAGATGAATATGTATATATGTATGGTTATGCACTGAAATCTTATCTTGAGACTACCATGAAATCACCTTCAAAATAAATGCAACACGCATCAGCTCAGTTCTAAATGTTTAAAAAGAGAAGCTCAATAATTAAAACCATCGTCCTGCACAGGACAGTTTCACTTACCCACGACGTCGAGGTGGTACGTGTGATTGATGGATCCGTACTGGTTTTCCACTATGCACGTATAATTCCCTTTGTCCGACGGGACCACGCTCTCCATGATGAGACTCCAGTGCTGGTTGCGGACCTGGCGGGTTGTAACCAGAGAGGTTGGCAACTTCACTCACAATCTTTCACCCTCTTCCCCTCCAAAAACCCTGGTTTTGAATAGTTAACCTGTTGTAATCCATGTTTAAAAGCCTCTGCGCTCATTTGACACCTCCGGACACTGAAATACTTGGTTTACTCCTGATCAGGTCCAGCACGGCTGCAGCAGGGAAAGCTTTCATGCATTTTGCTATAAATCTACATCGGTGCATGCTCAGTCCTACCAGACTTACAAGGATGACACCAATTAGCAGCCGTTGCCTTACCAGGCTTTACCTCTCAATCCACTCTAAAGCGAAATCACGCCCTCAGGATATTTCTCATATGTCTCCAAACAATCATCGGATAATATTAACTACCCACCAGCAATATGGGGTGGATACGATCCCTTAACATCTAAGTCTCAATTACGTAGCCTGCATTTTGGAGAAATAAATTACAGCAGGGCAATATTTGGGATTTCTCACACAGATAACAGAGTGGCCACATCTCTCACTGCTTTGGGGTACCACAAGAAAGAAATGAAGATGCTGCCTCATGAAAAATGCCTGAAGAAAATCCTTACGGAAACAGAGCATAAGGATATCCATTTATTTCATACAACTCTCCTTGGACAGAAGGTATTAAAGGTGCTGAATCTGTTCCTGTTTGAACTCAAAAGGAGCGCTGGCATCAGTCTTGGAGAAAATAGGATCCAGCCCAATACTGGAAGGATATAGAGTCATCCGGTATACATATATATTTCCTGCATCATAAATTGGCTCCCAAAATGACCTTTTGCTGGCTATCCACTAATTCCCTGTTTTAGCATTACATTTTTGACAAAGCGCTCAAAAATCTTAACATTACGTAGCCATAACGTACAACTTTTAAATTGTAAAGGATGTATTTTAGCAAATGGAATAAAAATACGATCTGGTACAGTCATTTTAATCAGCCAAATGGAAAGTAGTAATTCAGCACAGTACACCAAAAAAAATTTATGAACCATTCAGTGACACTTCCAGTAACTATATATTCTTAAAAAATCATTAGAGGTATGGGTCTGAAATCCTGCTTCATGCCTGACCCTTGCGTAGGTCCTTACCCAGCAGGAAAAGGCTACACAGGGCTGCATGCCCTGCAGAAAAATTTTGAATATTTTTGGAATATTTTTTGAATATTTTACTTCTTTACTTCTTTTTACTTCTTTACTTCTTTCTACTTCTTTACTTCCCTTTATTTTGAGGGAGACATGGTCAAAGTGACCTGAACTTTTGGCCGTTACAAGTTACATCACATTTCTCAGAATTGGAGCAACTGTTTTAACCGATTTGACTGCAAAACAGGAAGACCAGATCATGGTTCCACGAAAATTAAAACAAAATAAAAACTGGTAACAAGCTGCAAGCAATTAATTTGATAAGAAAACACAAGAGCTTGTTTAGCATTCAATAAGGAAACATAATGAACTTACAGCCACAAGTGGATATACTGGATGGCAATATTCAAAAGTATTTGTGCAATTTCCCTTCTTGTAACTCCAAAGAGAAAGATAATATCTTTAATAATAAAACAACAGCTTAAGCCTCTCCAGTTTAAGGTAAACAACTGCTGTAGAGGCCCAGAGCATTTATGACACATCGTCACACAACTGGATTTATGTCATGAATCTGGATCCACCTAGATTCAGCTTGTTGGCTTGGCGCTTGCTGGTTACAAGAGCAGCATCACAAAGCCCAAAAAAGCCTCCCTTCTTGCTGGGGATGACGGCATCTTCTCCCGCTGAAGACTCCCAAAGTGAACCTTTCATTCTCAGACATGCAATGGCCCTGCAACCACTCAGCTGATAGGACAGGCTTTGTTAATGTGGTCTTTTTAATTAATGTGCCTCTTCCCAATAAAGCCAGATTTCGGGCTGCACACTAGGGCCCTTCCAACTCAAGGCACCAGTCCTACAGCTCTGCAAATATTCCCTAAGAAGTTTCCCATCGGCTGGGTCTGTTTAAGCTGTTCACATAGATGACTTGAGCTCGTCTGGCAGACAGAACATATTAGGGAGCTCATGTGAACTAATCCAGGGGGAAAAAACACGAGGGCAGCTACAAGCTGCTGAAAGCAAGAGCATCCTCACCAGGCAAGTGGGGTCCAGCAAAGGACGAGTGTCCACAGCCAGAGAGTGATAAGTTGTGAGAGACTCTTCCAGCTCCCCAACCTGACTAGACCCATCAAGGTTGGAAAAGATCTCTAAAATCGTCAAGTCCCACCGTCAACCCAACACCACCGTGCCCACTAAACCATGTCCTGACTAGCTCCTTGCTGGGTATTATCCTCTTGTTTCTACTGTTTTGTTCCCTTTATACTGAGTTCTTTGGAAATCCTGGAGAACACCCACACAGTTTCACCCACTCCATCATCTGGTCTTCAAGGTACCCCTTCCAATTTGTCACTGCCTTTTCCTGATATAGGGAAATTCAGGGGGAAAAAAACCCACATTCGAAGCATCCCCAATCACAGCTTGGCCCTTCTGATACTTTGTCAACACAGTTTAATAACTGCTTTTGCCATGTTTTGGGGTTTTTACTGCTTTGCAATACCTATTTTCATGTTTTATCTGTGCATTGTACCCAAAACCGGTATTTTAGTTCCAAAAGGATTGAGATAATAAATAAAAACTCAACATATTTTTTTCCTGACTAGTCATAGACACTTTTAGCAAATTACTGAGGTGCTGTTTTAGCCATCTTCTCCATCAAATCTTTAACCAAACATTCTCTCCAAACAATTCAATCTTTAAGCTAAATTATCAATATCAAATGCACACAACTGTACCCTTAAGGTACAGCTTGGAGGTGGGAAACCTAAACTGGAATCAAAATGCCAATAAATATTGGTCAGAAATCTAGGAAAGTGCGAGCAATGCTTCATAGAAACATTTTGCTTTTGGAGTATCATATAAAAATTGTGGACAATTCTGTTTAATTTTAAAATGCATGTCTTCTGCGAACAGATACACCATGAAAAGTTGCCACTTAGCAAAAAGCGGCAAAATGGGGTTAATTTTAAATGGATTTCAAAAGAAGGATTAGAAACCAAAATACAATTTCCCACAAAGTCAGCATTGTTCAGACATACTGAAGAGCATTTGTCTGAGAGAACAAGTGCAGAATATCCATACAAAAGCCATAGAGTTTTACAGATCCTATAGGGTCAGAACTCCTTCTTTACTCTGTATTTGCCTGGCTGAATTTAAATGCATATAAGATGACTGTAGTGATGAAGCTTATCAAAACACATACATGAAAACACACACCTGTTAATGCTTAAACAGTAACAGCTGATAGAAGTACATTTGCTTTCCGGGTGGTGTACAGGAAAGCAAAGACTCCTGTGGTCTCACATAGAGGATTTAGATTATTCACTCAAAGGTATTATAAAATGCTTTTAAATGCACAAGCAAGAGCTATCACCACTTTAAGGATAGATTTTAATAAATAAGAAGGTTTAGACATTCAGTAACTCACTTTTTTCTCCTTGCTGTAGGAACTTTGGATATACCTTGAAAAATCATTAAAGGTTTGATTTTGAAATTCGCCACCCAGGATTAGTCATGGTGGAGGAATTTCGCAGGGGAAGCTATCTTGGCCAGCACGTACACCCTTCTGCTGGCCTGCCCGAGTGCAAATTGACTCAAGGCATTCCCCGGTCACGGGACAAAGCGCTACAGGCCACTATCTGACTGCGATAGAGAGAAGAGATTGCTTAGCTCAAGGCAGCAGGAGAGAGGTGGCTGGAGGATTACTAGAAAGCTTCATGTTTTCCTTCCCTTTACTTTGTTCCCAAAGTCTTCAAGGGATGATGGCCTCTTCCGAAAGGGACAGATGGTGTTACATCAACTGATGATGGCGGATGTGGCCAAGTTTGGTTCCAGCTATTCTGGTCACTCAAAGTATTATGAATACGAAGATCTCCAGCAGAAATGCTTCACATTTAGCAACACCCAGGTTCAAGACAAGCTGGCATACAAGAACTATCACGAGTTGCTGTGATGTCTGGCTGAACACAGACCAGCATAGAGAGACTCAGGCCTTTCTGAGGATTCCTCCACTACAAGTTTGTCAGGATAGAGGTGTCAAGAAAGTACAATCACCTCTTAATTCTGGAATAATTTTGAACTAAGTCCACACTGACCTTATCCTGCCCGACTAACAAGAAGAGGACGCAGCCTCCAGAAGCTCTGGAGGCCTCATTCTTTAACATCCATTCACTGAAAACAAGCTTTCACCTTAAAAAGATGGTTATTCAAAACACCAACAGAATCTAGAATATATAGATTTGGTATGCAGAATGACAATGATAAGTAAATGCTACCAGATCATTTAAAAATTGATATATTACTAAGAAAAGAAAGTCTAAAAGCCACAGCTGTGTCTCCCCTTTTTTTTTTCCTTTAGACCAAAAAGATGTAAGAAGTTATGACTTTGAATTATAGGTATATACTTCACTTCTCCAGCTGCCTTTAGAAACAGGCATCTGTGATTTCCTCCCAGAGCACACACATACCTAGGAAATTGTATATGTTTAATACACATGAGCAAAAATTTAATTTGTGCCACTTAATGGGCACAAATCTAAATGAGCTCACCCAGATCCCTAACACAGGCCAGCAGTGGCAGGATGGAGCCCAACATGGGCTGATTTACCCTGCCAAAAATCACCCTCCCAAACCAGAGATCGGGTCTCTCCCTCCTGCCTCGCAAGACGCACATTTTCCTGCACGGTTTTCAAGAGTGATATCTGCATTTCCCCTTCATAAGATATAAAGTGTCCAAATAATGTCTTCATTAGCACCAAAGCAGTTACTATTATTTTCCAAGACAGGATTAGTTTGTTGTTGGTTTGAGTGGGTTTTTTTAATTGGCTTTTTTTTGTTTTTAAAAAAGCACTGAGAAAGGTGAAAATCACTGAATTGAAGCCAATTCGTTAACACTCCACAGCGTTATGAAAGGCGGAAGGTGTTGCCAGGTGTACACTCACAAGCAACAGAAATTTATGGTGTAAGCAAACATAGATGGAAAAGTCTACTTAGATAATTAGTGTTCATGCAGGGAGACTTTCTGGGCTTCACTCGCTAGCACAAATGTTGGAAAAACTGACACTTTCTACAGTAAATCTAGTGAGTGAGGAAAGGAGACTATGGCTTGTCCTCCTCTGCACTGGAAAACATTCAGTTCGGGCTTTTATGTACCAAGCAGGATCCGAGTCAACAGCACACAAAGAAATATACACTCTGGTTCCATTGCAAAATGTGGCACCCCAAAAATACTGCAATATCTGGGGTAAGGCAGTGGCAAGAACTTGGTCTTGAATTTACTGCATCGCCTGGAAAAGGCAGTTAACTTCTGTCTTAATTAGCACTACAAATTGCTCTGAGCTCCTCAGCAGAAGTTCTAGGCTGGGACTTCCAACTGTGACACAAGGTGACTCACTCAGAAACCTCTCATCTTTGGACAGGAGTCACTGAGATGTTGGGTAGCTGAGAAAGCCACGGACAGAAGGTTGGCAGCCGAGGTTACGGTAAGTCAGAAATGCGGGGTAAGAAGGGAATTTGCTGCCCGTGTCACACGCTCCCATACCCTGCAAGGATAAGATGACCCTATCCTGACTTCTGACCTGACCTAGGCAGATCCCAGGAGGTGAAAGGTCTGTGCATTGCCCCACAGAGCTAGCGGGCCTCCCTAAAACTCTCTCTTAATCAGTAACCACCAATTTGGAATGAAACATCTAATCTGAAGCTGTTTAAAGTTCAAACAAGCCCTTGTAAGTAATTGCTGTTACTTTCCCTCAAATTCTGCTTCCCATTTCAGTTTCACAGACCATAAACTCCATAGAAAATAATAACTTTCAACTTCCAAGCCTTCCTTTATTAAACTGTCTACAATCACCAGAGTGGACGGTCATGTTCTTATCAATGCAGCTGAAAATTAATAGAGTATAATAGTCTTAACTTTGCTTTCCAAAGTCAGTCTTTAGTTTCCCAAATAAGTCTCTATGAATATTCCTTAGCTGCACTGCTATGCTACAAGCCTGAATATGAGAAAAAAAACCATATAAAATTAGTGCTCTCTAACTGCCAAAGAAACCACCCACCCTTCCCAGAAGATAATAATTACTTATTATTTTTTTTGCTTCTACATTTGGTCCAAGGCCATTAAAAAATTTTCTGTTGACTTCAGCAAGTTTGGTTTTCTGTTGGGTTGTGTTTTGTGGGTTTTTGTTTGGGGTTTTTGGGAGTTTTGTTTCTGGTTGGTTTGGTTTTTTTTACAGCCTCAGTCAAGAACAAAAACTGCCAAATCACACCATAAGAACGTACCTTGTATCCACCAATACGATGCTCTTGTTTAAACTCCTTCCCATTTTTCAGCCATCGCATGGTCGGTGTTGGGTTTCCCATTGCCGGACAACGAAACTTGACGGTGTTGGCTGCCGGCACCGCGTGTAGCCTCTTCTCCATTTTATCTGTGTGTGTCCAATAGGGTGCCCCTGTTTCAAAGAGAAATGTCCAGAAATATCAGTACTTGGAAACCCAGCTGCGTGTGTTTTTTTAAGCGTGGTTTAGAAAGAGTACATGACTGGAAATGATACGCCACAAGCATCGACCAGAGTTGTGCAAACGGCTCAGCCTCCAGCTTTGGCTATATAATTTACGACAAAATGCCAGTAATTAACCACAGATATCCTTTGTTTTGTGTATGTCAAGTAAGACAGAGGGACCGGGTTTTCAGCAGACGCAAGTGATTGGATGCTTTTTGACCTCGAGTTACTGTGAGTGCTCAGCAGACTCTGAATTCTTGGACCTTGGCTGTGAAGCCAGACAGACCAAGTCAGAAGATCTGTTGGACGCACCAGTCTTAACCTTTCCCCATCTGCTATGGAGATACACATACCTACCTGCCTGGCATGACAAGAACTGTGCTGTTACTGTCATAGAAACCACTGAAATATATTTATTTCTGAAGTCTTAACCAAAGAGGAAGAATCCAAGCTCTTCTCGGTGACAAACAATGATAAGACAAGGGGTAATGGGCACAAGCTGGAACACAGGAGGTTCCACTTAAATTGGAGAAGAAACTTCTTCTCAGTGAGGATGACAGAGCACTGGCCCAGGCTGCCCAGAGAGGTTGTGGAGTCTCCTTCTCTGCAGACATTCAAAACCCGCCTGGACGCCTTCCTGTGTAACCTCATCTGGGTGTTCCTGCTCCGGCAGGGGGATTGGACTGGATGAGCTTTTGAGGTCCCTTCCAATCCCTAACGGTCTGTGATTCTGTGATCAGCAGAACTCAACAGTGGTGTTTATCATTTGGCAGGGATGTCCCATTCTCATAAGCCTGTTGAAGTCCAAGTGCTCAGTGACGTCCAACACCATGGCACAAAACAAAAGTGTCTCTCTTAGCCCATATTTACCAAAGTGATCACTTTTATGAGCTCCTGGGAAGGCTCTCCCAGCTCTCAGTCACCCTCCCCATGCTCTGGCCTAGCCTGTGCCCACAGGAGCAGCATCAGGAGCGCATGGAGATCCCCTATCTCATCCACATCCTAAATAATGTGTCATGTACCAGCACAGCAAGCACAGCAGAACAAAACACACAACCACCCCTCTGTTTTTACCCCCCAGTAAGTAAATTTGGAAAAACAAGTCTATATACAAGGTTATCCCATGCTCTCGACCCATGCAACACTTTAGCTACATTGCACAGCGTCTTCATGGCGTCGCTTCAGTTGTCCTACCATAGCAATTTTTAAAATGTGAAAGATTCAAGATCTGTTTAATAGTAGGAAACATTGATTTATTTTACAATGGAGTTTTCAGATTAGTGTGGAATTTTTAAGGCTAGAGGGGTCCAGAAAAATAACTCTATTTCTCTCAGCCCTGTTTCATTTCCTTCATTAGCAGCCTTACACTCCACTATAAATAAACTCTTCCGTTGCTCAAATATTTATAGCAGTTCTTACAATCAGTGCAAACTCAGAAATCCTGCCACCCTCCTCTCTAAATAAAAATACAGCTGGATAGAAAATGCAGGAATAAACCCTTTAACAACGTCTGTCTCAGTATAAAGAAAACATTCCAAAAGCAAGGCTTATAATGATGCTAAGAACGATAAGTGATTATTTTTTTTTTGCCCCAAGTGGCAATTACTGTTAAAATTAATGAAGTAGAAAAGCAAAGCAAATTTGTGCATGTAATCAAAATAGAAAATCAGGTAACTATTGAAAATTTAACTGCAACACTAAAATTGTTACATGGACTAAAGTGAATTAGGCATGCAAGGAAAATCACTGTAACGTTATTTGCTAAAACCAGGATCACATTAAAACAACAGAAGACCTTAAACAAAGCCAACCAAAGGAATTAACTACTACACGCAAAGGCCAAATTACATTACAAACATACCAGGCAAAGGCAGAATTACATGTTGGTACTGATACATTAAAAGGATATTTTCTCTGGATCGCTAAACATCTTCCATCAGGCAACATACGGTGACCAATATTGGGCCTTAAGCACAATTCCCACAAAGTCAAAGTAAACTGTGGCAGGTCAAAGCCAACCAACCATCTGAACCAGTTGTACTGGTACCACAAATGAAGCAGAGGGCCTAGATTTGACCCCAAACAAACAACACCAACCCAGCAATATGCAACCAGCAGGGCCACCTCTCATCACATCCATTACCTGCACCTTCTCACACCTATAGAGCATGAAAAGCTTGGATGCAGCCGTTGGCAAGCACAACCTCCAGACCACAAGCTCCACAGCTCGCCCATGGCCATGCTGCCCCCAGGATGGGTGGATGAAGCTTCAGAGAAGCTCCCATCAGGGTCCAGCCCTGGACCAGGGCATCTGAGTTGGTCAGGATCACGACACCAATAGCTTCCAAAACTTTGTGCAGCCAGGTCTCTACTGCATTATCACACAACCACTTGGTTGGAAAAGACCTTTAAGATCATCAAGTCCAACCATAACCTGTCAACTACTAAACAGTGTCATTATAGCCCAACTCATCCTCTGGTTTTCTTGAATATAACCCCGCTTTCCATCAACCCTCACCCTTTAAAAATCTCTGCTCCTGGAAAAGAAGTACTATGATAAGTCTCGTATACAACAAACGCATAGAGAGGAAAAACTTTGCTCAGTGGAAGAGGTGAGAGCAGAGAAGAGGCCAGGAGGATGCAGGCAGGAATGAAGAGAAGAGACAAACGGAGAAAGGAGGGGGAAACGGAAACTCCCTGGGCTAGGAGGAGAGACTCTGCTTGGAAAGCTGCCCCTCGCATCGGCATAACCTGCAGTGCTCCTGAATTACAGGGGAGCTTGGAGAAAAACATGAGGACATCACATGCTGAAAACGCTCCAAGACATCCTCCCATTTTTCACTAGGTAGTAGCAGCGTGTACTGGCAGCTCCTCGTATGTTTAAGGGGAAAAGGCAGCAGCAACACAGACAGTAATGCTCGCCCTCATTTTGTGCTTTCATATAGTGACCAAACTGATTAACAAACAACATTTTTCTTTATAGATTAAATTATATCCTAAAAAGTGCCTTTTCCTGCTTCTATTTGTCCCAAGAGGAAAAACATCCAGATTCATTAAAACCAATAATGAGCTTAGTTAGCGAGTATGAAACACCAAGCACCGACTCCTTTTCCAGCCGAGTCCATCGCATCCCATCCCTGCTACCAGGTGGAAGTAGGTAGCACCACTCCTAAGAAGTTCACAGTAACAAGAGGGCAGGCTCCAGCGCAGAGCAGTAACGAGCAGCAGGGGAACGGGTGGGAATTCCTGATTGCTTTTAGAGCTCTCATTAGTGAAGAAAATATCCTGCTGACCCACACTGCACTCCACTGCAAATACATTACATCTAATCAGGCAAATCTCCTGCATGCGAAATTGAAATTAGGCAGCCCAGGGGACCACTTCACTTCAGGACTCCTCAATTTTTATTTGGGCTTATCTAATACAAAGAAATAGAGTAGTCGACTCCAAGCCTGCCTGACAAGCACCTCGAGCAGGCAATAGTGCGCCTGAAATGACCACATCAAATCCCCCCAAGGTTTTCACTACTATTGTATTTGACCTTTAATTAAAAAACACTTCTAGGCAACATCCAATTTTTGCTGCTCCCTTGAGTGGGTTTCCACTCCACAGGATTTGATGAATTTGAACCTTGTTTCATCCTTTCTGAAACTCTTCAAGGCATGAAAAGAACAGCATGTGGATTACATTTAGATCCTTTTTGTTCTTGGTGCCAATCTGCCATTGCTTGGCCCAGAAGAAATTGTTTAAAGGATGATAAGGAAAAAAAAAAAAGCCATAAAGCTTCCAGTCTGACTAAAATTCAAGGTGGAATAGCAGCATCTCCAGGGCTACCCAGGGGTCTCCAGAATAAACTGCTGCTGGTGGACCTCGGAAACCATCACAAGAGCTGCTGCCTTGCCAGCACCAAGCCAGGTTTATAGAAATCCTTTAAGTTAGGGCTACCTCCCAGAAAAATGATAAGGATGAGGTAACAAGTACCAATAACGTATAGGAACTGATGATGATCAGCCCTTATCTTTGTAAAAGAAAGTCCCAGGTGAACGTGATGGAGAAAAAGCCATGGAGGTGGCCCTCCAGAAGCAAGGTGAGAGCAACAAAGGGAAAAACTGAGTTGCTAACAAAGCCATTTTGTGGAGAGAGGGGAATATTTTGCAGTGGAACCAATCCTGCGCCTTCCAGGAGCGCTAATCCCTTCAACAAAAGCTGGAAGTAATAAAAAGCTATTCAGGATGCAGTCTGGAACAAATCTACCACAGTGTTTTTTCAGACAGTTAAAATCTCTGTCAAGCTAGGACACCAAATGCAGACTGAAATCTGCTACGCATGCCTTTTACTTAAAAATACACAGAAGGAAAACAGTCAAACACACGTGAGTACACACAAGCACCCTCCTCTCCCAAAACCGAGTTGCTTCTCACAGCTACGGAGCCACCTAAACCTCCCTCAACTTCAAGAGCAGTTCTATTTTCTAGGCAGCCTTGAAAATTAGGCTAGACTTCCTCAACAGCCTGCATCTGAAAACCTTGGCCCCTGAAAATCTATTTGAAAGAATACTTACCACCATAAATAAAACAGCTCTAAAATGTTTGCTTTAGTTTTAAATATGCAGGAATGAGAATGCCAAGGTTCGGTTTCCTGTGGAAGGCACTACAGCCATTTCCTGCCTCATCACATCATAATTAACATGCCAGGACAGCTGGACTTTATCAGAATTGTTTCATCAAAAAGCAACAACCTTTGAAGACTATGGCCTTTGTTTCCATCAGTGAAGGCATAACCAGGGCAATTTCCATTGCTTATCCTTAATGATCGCAGCTGTAATTTGTATGTAAATTATCGGTTAAATCGTTTTAGATCTACAAAGCCCAAACCCTGATTCAGGAAACACTTAAAGATGTCTTCTGTTAAGGAGCAGCAACCAGGGACTCTTGTGAGGGCCTGGACTTTCCCAGGCAGGAGAAGGGGATAAAGGGCATTTGGCCATTACACACCACTGGCCACCACATGGCAAGCTCAAGGAGGGCTTGGACTACTCCTCGACTCCTCTTTTCAATGTCTTGCAAGATTTTCTTAAATTAGATGTGTCTTTTTGGACATGACATTAAACCTAGAAGTGGAATGGCAAACAATACAGAATCATTAAAGTTGGAAGAGACCCCTAAGATCACCAAGTCCAACCGTCAACCCAACCCCACCATGGCCACTAAACCATGTCCTCAAGTGCCACATCCAGACACTTCTTGAACCCCTCCAGGGATGGGGACTCCACCACTGCCCTGGGCAGCCCCTTCCAGTGCTTGACCACTCTTTCAGTAATGAAACTTGCTGATGGAACTGATTTTTCAGTAAAGAGAAATACTGATGGAAAGGCTTAGAAGACACTGGATACACAAGCTTCAATGGTTTGCAAACACACCACACCAAGTCCCACCCCCAACTTTCACACAGCGCTGATCTTGCCAAGTCACAACCCTTTTCAGCAAAGTTGCTTTAATCCAACTGAGTTACTACGATGCAACTTTTCATTGAAAACAGACTGCTCGCAGGGATGCGGTGCCACTATTCTTCTTCCGGCTCCAGCTGTTTCCACAAGGAGCTGAAGCCATCGGGAGGAAGGCTGTGCTGCTCCCTACACCCATCCACAAGAAGCCCCAGCAGTCTGTGGGCACCTTGTAAAGAGCAACCTCCTGAAGACGTGTCTGCACAACACTGCTCAGGAGCAATCCATCTTCTTGCAGTTTCCTTCCCCCCTAGCCATCCAAGATGTGGAAGCGTTTACGCTCTAGAGACATCTTTCATTTTGAGCAGGGAAAGTGCGCTTGACCCCTGCGAAAGCACACACCCCAGCCCTGGCAGGCGGAAATTGTCAGTGGCCTTTCACCAGCTCCCGAATCAAGATTGATTAACAGCAGCGTCAGATGAGAGCTGGGCTACAAGAAGATCCCGAGCCTTACTACAAACACCACTGGGCAGCTCTCCCTGTTGCGTGGAGGTGCTCAAATTGTTACCATGACATTACAGGTCCTTTTCTTTTTTCTTGCTGTATGCACTTCCAAAACCCACTTGTGCTCACAGCGAATCTCCGAAGCCATCAGCACAGATCAGAAGCACAACTGTCTTCATTAGCACACCCAAAATAGTGCAAAACCCTTTTCTAAGCAAGGCCAATAAAGCTCTAAAGTGACAACAGACACAGGGATGCTTCCCAAAAAGAATTTCTACCACTGAGCCCTTTTCAGGGAAACTGCAAAACCTATTGCCTGGGTTGGTGGCTTTCGCCTAGACCACTTCTTTCAAAAGCAGGGTGCCTTTTCCAAATTTGCCAATTATCTTTGCCATCGCATTCTTTTGTCAAAGCAGCCTGCAGCTGCTTAATCTCAGCCACTTGAAGCTGCACCTGTGCATCAGCCCGGGTTAATCACACCAACAGATGGCAGGGGCCAAACCAGCAGCTCAGAACTTATATCATTTTAAATAGCATCTAAGGTTTCACAGCTTCAGACCCAGGGCAGTCGTATACAACAGTGACTAACCAGGGGAGCAGAAATCTGGCTCATACTTTATCACCTGCACAAGTGTATTTCAGGCATACAGCAGAGCTGCCGATTACTGATCGGGCTGAGGAGCAAATATATGACCTGGGTATGGCGTTTGTTAACTACCTGACATCCCTCGTGAAGGATTTGTGTGTTATTGACTTTACAAAACATGAGCAATAACAAACTACCAGTCACCGCAGGGATTTTTGCAACAGTGCACAGGGGCATAAGGAACCAATATGAATTTTACATCTTTTTTTTCTTTAGCGACTGCTCTATTTAGAGCCTATTAATAGCTTTCCAAATTCTCTAAAGGGACTGAAGTTCAACTTTCAGATAGGTTTAAGACTCCTTTAGCCCATTTTCATCATGCATAAGTAACACAAAATGTGGTTTTAGAGCTGGATTGCTTTCTTTGCGACAAACCTCGAGGTCCTTTGCATGCAAAAGAACCTCACTGTCTCCAAATTCATTCTCCCTGGAGAGATTTCTGCCGAGATTAAGTACTGAAGGATTTGCCTCATTACAACTTAATTTTATTTTTAAAGTTTCCACACCGCCTTTTAACCAAGTGAGCTGGATCTTTGTTTCTTCTGTTAAATTTCAGTTCAGATTCAGGAAAAGTTAGTTCATCCATGAGAGTCTAAACCAGACAAAGACTGAGTGTCAACTCAGGAAGAAAGGAGACGGCAGAAAAGCTAGCGAGAAGGGAGAAAGAAAGTACAGACCAGAAAAGCGTGTTTAAAAGAATATTAGTTTATTTTTTTTTCTTTTCCAACTACGTGAAACAGAAAGTGGAGAAAGACAAAGACATCGCTATTTGACAGCCCATGCAGTGAAGAGTCAAGAAGGTCTGAAGGCAGGAGTGCAAGAGATGGGACATTTATTTTCCAGGTGGATCTTGGTAGCGACTTCTGGCAGGTGGCCGTTACTTACTCATCTGGTTGCTGTCGTTCACAAAGTCCTCGGACCCATCATTGTCATCTTCATCATCCCCCGAGGAAAGAGCATCTGCGCATTAAAAATAACCAAGTCTTTAAACCAGCCTATTTTTGCAGACAATAAACTGACACCTACATCTTATGTTATCTATCAAGGAGAACAGATGCTATGTTTGCTGTGCAGATGCTATAGGAAAAGAAAATCCAGCCACAAAATGTGTGCTGTTCTTATAAAATTATAACAAAACTAGCTGATAATCCTGAAGTGCTATGGAGTTTTCAAAGGGAGGTTGCTAACTCCAAAAATCTCTTTTCCACTTATAATTTTTATTTTTCTTAAAAACATTTAATTGAGCAAAAGTGAGTGTGTCCAAAATGATTTATCTCTAAACTTAAAGGATGTAGGAGATCTCATTCCCTCTTCTGATGGGGGAAAAAAACCTTGTATTCCTTCTCCTGGCTTTATCATCATCCCAGCGACTCTGTATAATTTAATCCTGTCATAATGGCATAAAGCAGAGGGCTATTCAGCAGCTGTTAATCACTATGGATCCCGCGAAGTAAAAAGAGTATATATACACAAACTGAGTCTGGTTTAGGGTCAGGACAAGGGGGAAAATACTTGAAATAACTACAGAGCTCAGCTCAACTCACTGTGCCCAAGTGGGCTGTTTTCCGTTATATCACAATGTGTCTTTATATCACATTTTACAGCTTCTACATGCAAAAACCTGTGTTGAACTCACTCACCTGTAACATTTACAATGAAGTACAGAGTATCACTGTCTAGAGTCCTAACAGCAGTGCAAGCATAGAGGCCCGAATCTCTGGGTGTAGCATCCTTAATTTGCAAGTACTCCCCAATAATCACTGTCCTATTGTCGGGCCCCAAGGGGACCCCATCCTTAGTCCAACTGATCATGACGGCGTCTTTCAATTGACAGCGCAACTCAAGCGGCTCTCCTGGAAGTGCCGAATATACATCTGGCTGAGAGATTTGGTATTTGGTTGGCGGCTCTGCGAAGGTGGAAGGAAAGGAGGAAAAAAGAAGAAAGAAGAGGGAAAGGAGAGAATTTCCAACACAAGTCAGTGAAGGCCCTTTTCATCCATAGGAATCAAGTTATGTTCAATTTTAAAAAAAAAAAAGCTGCATTGAGATTAGCCCAGCAATCTGTCTCATAAAAGCAAAGCATATGCAGGTATGGGATAGGCTTTTCTTTCAAGAGCTGAACCACAAACAAAGATCATTTCCCCTCGACGGGACGTGCATTGTCCCAAGGCCACACAAACGCACAACCCTCTCGCTGGTCACAGATGGGGAGGTGAGTGCTGCTAATTCAAAGGGCTTAGAGGTGCCAAGAGGTGTCCAAAAAGCAAAATCCAGTTTTATATCTAAGCATTTGCGTCTACGAGTAAAACGAAGATTTCTCTTTCCCCATCTGATTTCACAAGTTGCTTTAAAAATAAATAAAAAAAACAAACCGAGAAGAGCTGTGTCAGAAGTAAAGGACAGCCAAAAACCTCTTTACTAGCTAAGCTAATAAACACGAGTTCCTATCCACAGCATATATGATGCCCTTTGTTTTTCTTCCCAAAGTCTCTACATTTGCCTTCTATGCTGCCAACTCTGCTCCCCGAGACAGTAACTTTTTCCTTTATTTTCTTTTGCTACATTTCTTATTTCACAGCCTCTCTGGAGCAGAACACACCAGAAACCCAGGAACACAAGCAAAGCTTTCAAAGTCGCAGTGTACCCACAAGGTCAGAATGAAATGGTTCCTTTTGGTAATCAAATAACAAGAACGTCAAATCACACTCTTTTTTCCCCTCCAGCAAAGAAGTGCTTTAAGAACTACATCTGCCTTAAGTTACTAGAGCCCAATTGCTCCAGTAACTACTGTGACAGTAGTTTAGTTTTAGGTAGCCCTGCAAGGAGCAGGGAATTGGACTCGATGGTCCTTGTGGGACCCTTCCATCTCTAGGCAGTCCATGATCGAGTATCAGAAGTGGCCACCACAGTGGGACACTTGTGTATTTAAATACTGGGTTACACTGAGGCACTTGAAAACAGTGTGCCCAGTTTCTCCTCCCACTCACCCTGGAATTGTGCAATTTCAGGGATTTCGGGTAGAGTCTCCCCAAAGCAAAGGGAGCACAGACCTAGGGATGTGCCCTTGCAAAGCAAGCAAAGCTTCTCCTGGCTTTTTCCCTTAGGGGAAACAACAGATTTGACACCTGCATCTCACCAGGATGATGGCCAGGAGAAGTGCATAAAACCATTTAAACAAGAGCAGTTATGGAGACTGTAAAGATTCTTGGATTTAGGTTTTAAAACAACTTTCTAGCGTGCACAGTTCCATCTCAAAGTGCAGGACAAGCTACAACACAGCTCCTTAGAAACTAATTCAGTCTTGCTGATCCAGTCAAAGCCACAGATCCGCAATGCAGGTGTTTCACTACACTATGCTGTCAGAAATCTAATTTCCAGAGATTAGGGCTCCTTTCTACATGTATTTCATAACAGTAATGAGTATATTTGAGACTTTTTGAGATTTTTTTTTTAATTCCAATTCCACTGTCAGACTTGTAGAAAGCAGCTGAAGCCAGCTAGTTAATTGACTTTGAAGTTTTTAAGACTTCTTTGTAATATTCTACCTGCAAAGAAAATCTTTTACAGAGTTTACGTTGTCCCAACAACGTACAGGAGACTTTAAAAATGTCTTTGGTTAAAACTTTTTAAAAGCCACCGTGGGTGACGATAACTCAACCCTCCTTTAAATGCATTAGCAGATTTCTCTGAAGGAGTCTCGCAGGATGGTCACACAGGTCATAGCATCCTCCTGCGTAGATCACTTGTTCACATACAACTTCAAAATTAAATTTTCAATTTCAAAACTACAAAATGAAAATCCTTTGGCAAGGAAAATGACTAACACACTGAAGAAAAAACAAAGTTTCAAATGAGTATGAATGTTTGGTCAATATTCTCCTCCTTCATTTCTTTCTCTCTCGAGTATCAGGGAAGATAGAGCACAAAGCGTTGTCATGAAATAATGAAGTCATGTTTGGGAAAAGTGAGTTCTTTCAGGTAAGCCTTTGTGTTGCCAAACGAGAATGTAGCAGCACTTAAGACTGTCACTTTTTATAATGTTTGCCTATAAACTTTTTCCAGTGTGGGTTTGAAATGGTGCCCAAAAGCAAACAGAGAACAGGTGGGATTCTGAGGCACGAGCCCGCCCAACAGCTTTCGCTGCGAAATTCAACCAGTGTCAACTGTTAGAAAATTCCCAGCAGCACATAAACAACCTACGCTGCAAGGGTAACCCTCCCTCCAGGATTTTCACACCGCTCCGAAATTTAGGGACAAATTCTGACCTCAAGCACACACTGCACCATTGAATGGATGGTTCCCCCGAGGCTGCCCTTGGGATTATTTCCCCTTTTTTTGGGCGCACCAGGGAAACGATGCTGCGCGTTTGCTCACAAGGGAGGCAAGGTTGCTCCTGCTATTGTCTGCTCCCAGCTACATCCTTATTTGTAATAGCAGGGCACACGATGTGTTTTAACTTTATAGGTGGAGCTATTGAACAATACCCCCATGGAAAACCACGCTGCTGTTAAATAAACAGTTGGGAACTTTGTCTTTGCCTGCTCATACAGTCTCGCAGCATGATTTATGCCATCCAGCCATCAAATGGAGTAAATAATGTTTATATAAACGCCATGACCACAATAGAGGACCGGGGACATTCTGAATGTGCTATTTCAGATTATTATGATACACGCAATTATATTCCAAACCGTGCTTCTGTTCAAGATTCAGTCACTGAAACGAGAGATTTTCACTTCCTTAGGTTTTAAATTATTATTATTTGTCTCCATTCATTAAAACCTTAACAAAGAGCTGCTTATCTTAAGGCTCAAGGCATTTAGTTACTTAGTTACAGAGCCAAATAATTAAACAATCAGCTAATGGCTAACCCCAGCACAGGTTCTCACACAACCCACCAGCACACAAAAGCCTCAGACCCCATCCAGCCACTTTCACTTCAAAAGGCTTTAGTAAATAACTAAACACTCACCACGGCGTGCCCAGGAGGGTCAACAGACCTGACCTGTCAACAGCCCAAGAGGCTCACTGCAAAACTGAGCGTCCCCATGGGGAACGCCAGGCTGCCAACCACCACTGCTCCTCCTGCTTCTCCCGTCACTGTGGAAGATCCAGCAGGACCACGCTGAGTGAGCAACACCAAACACGGATGTCGAGCTATGCTTGAAGCAGAATAGCCACAAAACCCATGACTTTGAGTCAAACCCATGTCTTCACGCTCTCTCCAGGAGGCAAACTCTGCAGGACTGGAAGCCCAGGTATCACCAGTCACGTTTGCCACATTCCCTCCCACCTCCCAGCTACACACTGATGGGCTGCTCCCTCAATTTCAGTTGGCAGGCTAATACCAAGAGTAGCTCCACGTCCTCTTCTGACAATGGATGACAAACTCAGCCTACAAAAGAAACAGCCACCGGTTTAAAAATGCAAGGAGCCATTCCTGGCCACAGTGACCACCTCCTGTTGGCCAACAGCAAACCAAAGCCACAAAGGCAAAGCACATCTCCTTATACAAAAGGGGACAAAGCAGTGTTTGCAGTTCATCCATCTGCTTCTCCAAAGTCACTGGAT